TATGTTATGTATAGCAGTCAATCATCGGTGATTATAGGGTTCGACGCCGCAATTCTTCGAGGTGATGCTGGAACGAGCGGCCGGATGTCTTGAAAACGCGGGACGACGTTTCTTTCGAGATTCAAATGGTGCCATTCGAAGTCGAAGATCGTTCTATACTACTCTTGTGCAATACCCTGCGACCAATCTGGAATTTCATCATGGCTCTTCGACCATCCAATCGCCGCAAAGACCCGTGCCGAACGATCTGAACGCCACTCCGCAACTCAACGATACACGAACGCCACCCCCAGTACTCGATTTCTTGTATCCGCTTTCGACCCAGGAATTCGCAGCCTCCTGCCTCTACCGTGTTCAAAAACGGCTCGTCCCGCGTCGAAGGAGGAGGACGCCCCCTGGCTTGACGAGGAGAACCTATAGATCGCGAGCCTCCGACCTTGAAGAAGAGGATACGAGGAGAACTGATACATCGCAAGCTCGGGATTTCGAAGCCGAGGATCTCGAAGCCGAGGATCTCGAAGCCGAGGATCTCGAAGCCGAGGATCTCGAAGCCGAGGATCTGGAGGCTGAGGATCTGGAAGTTGAGGATCTCAAAGCTGAGGAGGACTTTTTCGACACGGCGCAAAGTGATCAAAGTCCTGGTCAGAAAGCAAAGAAGAAAGCTTCTCATAGGTTCCTCGACCCCGCTACTCAAGAGGAATATGAGGCCTACGATGGTGCATGGTCTCGTTATGTCGCTGCTGGTCATCCTACCCAAGTCAATGCGGCTCTCATAGCGTTCCTTAGAGATTCAAATAGGCATGTGGATCATAAACGTGCTAGAAGAGTGTTAAATTGGATTCCTCTTGAGTCACGATCCGAAGAAGACTACTTGAACATAGTCAAATCAGCTCTAGCCACCAACAAACTGCCCGAGGCGGAAGATCTCTGTGCAGAAGCCATACATTATGGCATTGGCATGAAATGTTGGGCTTTTCTTCTGGCTCACTATGCGAGCTCCTCGCAGTGGGATTGGGTGCAGGCATTCTGGGACCTCGGGTCATCATTCGCGGAGAATGACCGCGCTCAAACATGGAGCGCCCTCGTTTCGAATTTGAATATGTCCACTCTCGAGGACCCGTTGACTGGCTTGGCAGACTATATACAAGAGCAGACAGCGAGCACTTCGCTACATGATCTTGCTCGATTTTTGCTCGACAATGCTTGTACCAGCCAAGCATTCGTCGAACAGTCTTCGGTCGACGGTATTTTGCTGGTTTTGCAAAAATACAACAACCTTGACATGCTCAAGCCTGCACATTATATCAAACTTCTCAACACAATTCGGACAACCGAGAACCGACAGATATTTGTCCGCGCTATCGTGATATATCGAAACTTTCGATGGAGGATGGATGGCCATGCGCCGTCAGCAAAACTTCTGGGCCATCTGGTGAGGCGCCTTGCCTCTTTCGAGATCACGGCTGGGCTCTTGTACTTTCTTGATGAATTCACCCATTTTTATGGAAAGCCAACCTTGGACGCTTATAAGCATGCGCTCGTTGCTTTCTCCAAAGTTGGCGACGTTGACAACGTCAATGATATTTTTGACAAAATGGTCTCCCACCATGGCAAACCCCAAAGCCGAAGGCTGGTGACTCCTCTTCTTTACGTTCATGCAAGAGTCGGTAACGTGCGAGAAACGTTGCGTCAATTCTATCGCATCCCTGAGGAGTTCGGTCTTCGCCTAAATACAGTCTGCTGGAATGTTCTGCTTACAGCCTACGCAAACGCTGAGGACTTGAGTGGGTGTTTCAAGCTCTTAAGGGATATGTTCGACCAGGGCATGGAACCGAGCTCGCATACTTTCGGTATTGTGATGGGTCTCTGTGCCAATCGAGGCGATGTCCAGGGTGTCCGTGACTTGCTTGATTTAGCAAAACAAAATCACGTACAGATAACGGCTCCTTTGATCGACACTGTTGTGGAAGCGCACTGTCAGAACCAAGAATTTGAAGAGGCGGAGAGGGTTGCGCAGACGTGCCTTGGATTGGACGTTACAGGCTCGCGTGTCAGAATGTGGAACGTTTTACTGTGGAACTACGCTTTCAGAATGGACTTGGAGGCGATTTCTCGAATTCGCTCGCTCATGGATGAAGCCGCCTTGCTCCCAGATGGCATGACCTATGCTGCTCTCATGCTCAGTCTAGTACTCATTGGTCAAACGGAAAATGCTCGTCGCATCTTGAGAAAGCTTCATCGCAACAATCGCGTTTATGCCACCGAATTTCATTATGCAATCATCCTGTATGGGTACGTGAAGAAGAGGAACCGAGATATGGTACATGTGATCTTCAATGAAATCCAGGAGCGATTCGGAGAGGCTGGTCTTGCTTCAAGGCTCCTCGTTCTCAAGAGTCAACTGCGGCGAGATTTGCAATTAATCACCGCTGGTGGTGGTGGCGCTGCCGGCGCATATACTCGTTTGGAAAACGCAGAGAAGTTCCTCAAGGAGACCATCTCAGAGTTCCACACTAACAAGACGGCGACAAAGGCTCCTGTGCTGGGCGCTGGCAGAATGTCTGCTAAACAGGCGTTCCCTACCGCATACTACGAACACATGATGAATGCCTATGGTAGGCGCGGAGCTGCTGGGCGAGCTCGAGAGTTATTCAACGAATTCATCCAGAGTCAACGAACATCACCTGATGATGACGCTCTCGAGGTAGCCCCAGTTCGCCTACTAACAGCGCTGATGCTCGCTCATATCAGAGGCAATGAACCGGAAATGGTCGAAGAATATTGGAACATAGTTTTCCCACGCGCCATCAAGATGGCTAGTCGACCGAATGTTGAAGCATGGCTGTCCAATCCCAGCAATTCCGACAGCGTATTGTTTCCGTCTAACAAGGATATCATCGTCAGCTCCGAAGCCCACAGTGCATATAATGCGGACGAGAATAATGCCGACACAGCAGAGACTGCGGGCTTCTCCATTCTGTCTGCTCATCGCTTCATGCTCTCTCGGGCTCTTTCGTTATTCATGCGTTCTCTGGCTTACCGGGCTGAGGGTCAGAGAATACCTCAAGTCATCTTGGAAGTCGAAAGTGCAGGTTTCGCTTTAACCACCTACAACTGGTCTACTTACATCCAGATGCTCGCATCCTCATCCGAGCCGTCGGATCAACTCGAGGCATTCACCATGTTCGAGCATCGATTCATGCCTAACTTCCCTGGATGGAAGTATCTGCGCCGAGGATTCGGTCTCAAGCCGCACGGTGTACCCTCTACCATCGATGTTGTGGAGTCAGGCCGTCCCAAACCTCCACACCTGCTTGGTAGAGAAGGCCGACGGTACTGGAGCAAGATTCAGCCAGACTTCATGCAGCCTACTTATGTATCAATGGTGTATCTGGCTGCTGCCTTGAAGGCGTTCCGAGAAAGAAGTGTCAACGATGGACCTGCGGAACTCCAAGCTCTGTATGATCTCGCGCCGAAGACCGTCGATGCGGTTGCTGAGATTCCTTACCTTCGTGACAAGTTCCAAGGTGTCCTGCTCCGTGGCCGCGCACTGCGAACTGACACTCCAGCGAACGAGCGTGATGAGTTCGTATGGACGGGAGGTATTCTAGGAGCAGGCGGTCTCACGAGGACTTTCTCCAGAGATTATGAGCCGATGGATGAGGAAGTTGCTGATGATACGTCGGCTACGGAAGCCGACGACCAGGCCGAAGAAGCTGCAGACCTCGAAGAGGCTATTCCGGATATTGAGGAATTCAGAAGCCTCTTCATGAGAACACTGGAGAAGTCGGATGAGTTTGACATTGAAGTTGAAGCCCGCCTGAATAGGAGACGCAAAGGAACAGGTACCAAAGAAGAACTAGGGGACGATGAACGGAACCAGTCTATTGGCGTGGAAGATGAGCTTGACGAAGAAGCCCCTGCAGATGCCTCAGAGTTAGCTTCTGAAGAAGCTCCTAAGCAGCATCAGGGTGAACTCCCAACTGAAGACTTCTTCCAGGAACAGCCCGATGAGTTACCATCCGACGACTTTTTCCGGAAGGACCCCGATGAGTTACCATCCGACGACTTTTTCCAGAAGCACCACGATGAGTTACCATCCGACGACTTTTTCCAGGAAAACCACAGGACCGAACTGAAAACTCGATTGGGTCCGACACGGACAAGCCCGGAGAAGGGTCTTCGGAAAACTCAACCGGAGGCACCAGAGGAAACCTCTGGAGAGGTCCCCGCAGGGATCCAGGAGGAGTTGCCAGAGGAGATCCGGTCTGAGCCTCCGCCGTCCGAAGATTTCTTCAATGAACATCACGACGAAGCTCAACCCAAGGCTCAGATGAGGGCTCAACCCGTGAGTCCTGAGCAGGATACGGGAAAGACCCAGGAGGCTCAAGTCCGAGTCATGCAAGAGACTCGTGATGAAGTTCAAGAGGGTCCAACCGAAGACCACGAAGAGCATCTTGGGGAGACGCGGGAAGTAACCCAAGAAGAGGCTCATGATGAAGCCCAGCAAGGTGTTGAAGTGCGGAACCCCGAAGAGAAAGACGGTCAGAAGTCTCAGGAAAAAGATGGGCAAGAGCCCTGAGAAGGGGACCGGTATAAGTCGGGGCAGATGTGTAGGATATAGGGGTATTACGGTGTACATATAAGAACTTTCTCCTTGTATATTATTCATACAGACTTGTACAAGACTCTACTGCTCAGCGCTTTCTATACAGTTTTACATCACATGATTGTTATCTCCGTTCTTTTTGTTCTTTTTGCACAAAGACGAGAAGGAAGACCTCGAACCAACTGTTACGTATGTACTTACTCGGTAGAAGTTATTAGTTGATGCCCTAAGTTAGCGGTTTATGCATTCCATAGAAGCTGACTCAGCAATGAAGACATAATTGGCTCATCCAAGGCACGCTTTTCGCGTTCCGTCGTAGGACGCGCTCTAATATTACCCGGTTAGGATGTCGCGTTTGAACCCGAAAGAACGGTTTCTCCGCCAACCTACCCTTCCATCAAGATCAAGCAAAAATCACCATTCGCATCCCCGCGCTTGCACTTGGACTCCAGAGATTGAGGTCACCCATTCTCTTGCTCTTTCATTTCCACTTCGATCATTTTGAGATACCCTTTTCGTTATTAGCAAGAATCTATCTGTCATGGAGGGACAATTCGATGATGCCGCACAGGATCGTGTGCGTGCCGCCGTCGAATTTCTCGACCCAAGTAGGCATTGTCTTTTGATCCTCTCATATTACAGCGTACTAATTGCTTGACACTGCAGGTAATGCTCGAGCACGCAGGTTTGTCGGCCTCTGACTACCATAGCAAGATACCATGCTTTTCGGTGATAAGGGGTCTAACTTGGAATTAGTTATCGAGCCGATATCTTGTTGATGCTGAACAGAGGGCTACGGCGGTTAATAGTGAGTTGTGATTTTCGATATACTTCAGACGACTTAGCCTAATCATTATGCCATGGGTGTAGGTCAGCATTGATGAGATTCGAGCACATAGCCGTGAGATGGCCGATGGGTAGGATGCGCCCCTCGACTTCACCCAAAGGACATTGGCTCATAAACTATACAGTCTTCTCACATCTCCCTACGAATACACCGATGCTTTTGAGAGGGCCTTGAAAGATATCATCAAGACACTGCCCAACCGACCGTCGAGAGAGACTGCTGACGATGTGGTATGGCAATTCCGGCCCCGAGGACTGCTTGCGCGGGAATTAACAATGACTAGCATTATCACTGTGGCTTCGTTGGCGCCTTTGGAGAATTCTCCTGCAACCCCAGAACCCTCAGCTCCTCACACCTGAACCGGATGATCTCGCTGGAGGGTATTGTCACGAAGTGCTCCTTGGTCCGACCGAAAGTTATTCAGAGTGTACATTGGAGTGAGCGCACCAAGAAGTTCCTCACCAGGAAGTATGTCGACGCGACGATGACTGCGAGTGGAGCAACTAGCATGAGTGTTTACCCCCAAGAGGACGATGAGAAGAACCCAGTACGTTTTTGCATGAACCGTGAATATTGGACCAGCTCTGACATCGTCCGATTTGCTTAGTTGACCACGGAATACGGCTACTCTACCTACATGGACCACCAGACTATTTCAATTCAGGAGATGCCTGAGCGGGCACCGGCCGGCCAACTTCCGCGCAGTGTGGATGTGATCCTGGACGATGACTTGGTCGATCGAGCCAAACCCGGAGACAGAATTCAGCTGGTCGGCGTATACCGCACTTTGGGTAACCGAAACGCATCTTCCACATCCGCCACTTTTCGCACGCTCGTATTAGCCAATAATATCATTCAGCTGGCATCCAAATCAGGCGGAGGCATCGCGCAAGCTACCATCACCGATACCGATATTCGAAACATCAACAAGGTCGCTAAGAAGAAGAGTGTGTTTGAGTTGCTATCTCAGTCCCTCGCTCCCAGTATTCACGGCCATGACTACATCAAGAAGGCGATCTTGCTTATGCTGCTTGGTGGCATGGAGAAGAACTTGGACAACGGAACTCACTTGCGTGGTGATATCAACATCCTCATGGTCGGTGATCCTTCTACTGCCAAATCGCAGCTCCTTCGCTTTGTCCTGAATACCGCACCGCTTGCCATTGCAACCACGGGTCGAGGATCTTCTGGAGTCGGTCTTACTGCTGCTGTCACTTCCGACAAGGAGACTGGGGAGCGCAGACTTGAGGCCGGTGCTATGGTTCTTGGTGACCGTGGTGTTGTCTGTATTGATGAGTTCGACAAGATGAGTGATGTTGATCGTGTGGCTATTCACGAAGTGATGGAACAGCAAACAGTCACAATCGCAAAGGCTGGTATTCATACGAGTCTGAACGCTCGCTGCAGTGTCCTGGCTGCCGCCAATCCTATCTACGGTCAATACGACCCTCACAAGGACCCGCATAAGAACATCGCTCTGCCCGATTCTCTCTTGTCGCGTTTCGATTTGCTTTTTGTTGTGACGGACGATATCGAAGACGCCAGGGACCGAATGGTTTCCGAGCACGTCCTTCGTATGCACCGCTACCGCCAGCCTGGCGCTGAGGAGGGTGCACCGGTTCGTGAACAACAGCATCAAACCCTCGGTGTCGGTTTGGAGGATAGCCAAGATTCAAACCATCCCACTGATGTCTATGAAAAGTTCAATGTCATGCTTCATGCGGGCATGGCTAACCAGCGGAGCAAGAACAAGAACGTCGAGATCCTGAGCATTCCCTTCATCAAGAAGTATGTGCAATATGCGAAGACTCGTGTAAAGCCCGTGTTGACCAAGGGAGCTGCCGACCACATTGTGTCGACTTACTCCGCGCTGAGAAACGACGAGTTGTCCGGTAACCAGCGCAGAACGTCTCCCATTACCGCTCGTACTCTCGAAACCCTTATTCGTTTGTCCACAGCGCATGCCAAATCGCGCCTCTCAAACAGAGTGGAAGAACGCGATGCCAAGGTCGCAGAATCGATTCTGCGATTTGCCATGTTTAAGGAAGTGCTTGAAGACGAACGCCGGAAGAGGAGAAAGGTCACCACTTTCGACGATGACTCGGAAAGCAATGACTCTGATTCTGAGAGTGATGACGATACCCCTGCACAGACTGCAAGCGCGACCCCCCGATCTACCAGACGAGGCGGGATGAGGACTCGCGGTGCCAATGGTGTCTCGACCATAACCGAGGACACCGAGATGGATGCGGAGGGAGACAACGTGTCTGAGGATGGCGATGGCCTGTACAACTCCAGTCCCCGTGGCCAGCGCCTTCGTTCCAGCCGTACTCAGCCTGAATCGCAAAGTCAGATGTCGGTAGCATCGTCCCGTCCGGCGTCGCAGCTGGTCGAGTCTCAGACGGACACCTCGCAGTCGCAGACCGCCAGTCTTTCGTCTCAGCCTATCCAGCCTGCCCGTCTGACGGTCTTCCGCCAGGCCCTGGGCCCGCTCATGGGCACCCGCTTGTTTACTCATGGAGACACCGCCGACGTGGAGGAGCTGATTGGCGCGGTCAATACCGCTGTTCGTAGTGCCCCCTCACTCGGCGAAAGCCACGTCTTCCAGCGTCCGGAGGCCCTGCAGGCCCTGCGGGCTATGAACGAGAGAAATGAATTGATGTGAGTCCCAACTGACCCCCATGCTTCACTGTCGAATCATAGGACTAGACCTCTAACCACGAATACAGGTACCTTGAGGATGATGAAACTGTCTACAGAATTTAATGCGCTATTTTGGTTGAGGGTTTTTTCCGGCATAGAATCTGGGGTGTTCTGTTGTTGTTGTCACGAAATCAAGCAGGGCTGGATGTGCATGGTAATGTTTTGTTACACGACTTTGATCTACCTATTCGACATTTGGAGATGGATCTGGCGTTTTCGGAGTAACTTCGATTTGTGTTGATGAGATCTTGAAGTACTGTGTGTATCATTGAATTGATAATGCAGCTATATTTGATCATACATAGTGGTATCCCACCTTTTTCTTTCTCGAGCACTCCGCATGATCACGATAAATCACCAGCCCCAAAGCTAGTCCGCCGGGATGTACGTGAAGTTCCAGGTATGCATTCCAAGTCAAGTTGTGACAACGCAGCGCCTATATCCAGAATCCACACAACCGGGCCTTCAAGATTGACACTCTGCACGCGCCTATATCCAGCCAGCCCCCTTTTCTAGCTTGCGTACTATCTATATGGTTTCCTCTCATCTCATTTGTCGAGAGACACGAAATAAAATCCAAAGTTTACTTATTCACTCACTCTACTTTCAAGGTTTCAATCATTCCATCATCCTTCCTTGATGTCCAAATGGCAACATGAATACAAAGACATAGAGATATAACAGGGTATTAAAAAGAAGAGTAGAGGGGGTTGGGGTTGGGGTGGTGAGGGAAGAGATATGGCGCTGGAATAGAAAAAGAATTAGAAGGGGGGAGACACGCACACAGGAAGAAGAAAGTCTACATCAAGACAATAGGATGTATGGCGCTGGACAACGGAGAGTGAAGGAGGTGGTAATGGGAGGGGGAGGGCCCGCGGGGTATAATTTGAACAAAACATGTTCTGCGATTGGGGTTGGGGATTCGCGGCTGGAGAATAAGCCTGACAACCTTGCTTTATTTGCAGTATATTCCTTTACACTTTTTTTCGTTCTTGGAGAATTTTGCTTTCAATTTATATCGACCGGAGTACTGCTTCTCATTGAGGAGGAATCTTCGGATGAAAAGGACGGAGTGCGCGGTACACCCTCGCGGATTTGTGCCTGTGTCAATGGCAAGAGGCCGCGAGTGATCGTTTTGGTGCTTTTCTTCTTGCGCTGCTGTTGCTGCTGTTGGTGATGCTGCGCGTGATCCAGGTGGGCGATTGGGCTCAGGCTGCCTCGGCGCGGCCGGCCGCTGATCGACGACCGCGATGGCGGCCGCTCGTCCGTGTCCACGGGCGTAGTGCTCCGGGACGGGGTTCGGGAGTGCGATTCGGAGCGGGGGCCCCGTCGCGCGGGCGATTTGAGCTCGAGACCGTGTTTCGAGGAGATACTGGAGTGGTGGTGGTGGTGGTGGTGACGGGGTTGGAGCCCGGGCTCTGCGGATCGGCCGAGGGTTGCTGCGGCGAGTCGGCGACGCTGGGAGGTCTTCCAACCGGATCCAAGCCACCAGAACCAGCCGCGGTCCTGCTGCGCGATCTGACGCTCTTTCTGGAGCAGTTTCTGACGCAGTTGAGCGCGCCGTTCGTTCTCCTTCTCCCAGAAGTCGGTGCGGTAATCGTCCCAATTCTCACGGAATTCGGGGGAGAACGATTTGGGGAGGAGAAGCAACCGGATGTAGTCACCTCCTGGGCTTAGATCTTCCTGCACAAGGCCTGACTCTGTGTCCTGCCCGTAATACTGCTGATAGTGCTGCCGACTACCGCGTTTCTCGGACACAGGGCGCTCGATATAGTGAAAGTCCCCGACGGGAGAAGGGGAGAAGGGATCGATGAACGGAAAGAGGAAGGAGATGTAGGAGAGCAACTCCTGCCACCAAGGACCTCGAATGACGATGATTTTGGTATTCATGGTGCGGAGGCCACGGTTGGCCACGGCGAGCCAGCGCCGCGGCCACCGCACCCCGCGCTCCCATTGTCCTGTGCCCCAGACCAGCAGTGCAGTGACCACGCCGCCGAGGAGAGCGACCTTCTCGCCCATCTCGACCACCCAGTAGACCGATCCACCCACCCCGCGGCCATCCTCGCGGGGCCGGAGGAAGAGCGCGTAGGCGAAATAGGTAATCCAGATGGCCAGCAACAGCAGGAAAAAGGTGTTCTGCCTTCGACGTTCACGCAGCGCTAGATATTGGGCTCGCAAAGAGCTTTCCAGTATGAGGAGATTAAGGTAGATCTGGGGTGGGGATGAAGGCAGGTTCGAGTATGCATCGGGCGTGGCCGGGCGTGGCGGGGAAGAGGAAGAGGCATCATCGGATGTCGGAGTCCCATTGTATGGGGCGGCCGCAGAAGTCGACGAGTCGGACGATTGTGTCGCTGAAGAGCCTTTAACAAGCTGATCGAGGCTGGCGGAAGCCATGGCGTCCTTGAAGCACGCAGTAAAATACAAGAGGAAGATAACTCAGCTGCAGAAGGGGAGATCGGAGGATCCCTTGTGCAAGTACAGTACAGCACAGGGCAGCGAGATTGAGGCGCGCGGATCAGATGAAACGTGAAGTGCCAAAAACAGAAACAGGAAATGAAAATGGAAATGGCCTTTGCGGCCCTACTCTATCTCATCGCATAAACGAGAAAGTCCGAGTTCTGGGGGAGGGGAAGATATGGAGATGCAGTGGCTGGGAGAGTAAGACTGAGAAGAAATGGGAAGCAAGCAAGCAAGCTGAGCATTAATCGTCATCTGCCAAATTGTTGGCCGTTGAGGCTCCACCACAACCACCTCCTCCATCTTCTTCTCCATCTTCAACAAATTCCCCTTCTCAATAAGCTTGAATTAATTGCATCAAGATTACCTTTAGTACCTGACTAGCTGAGTCGTGTACAATGGTTTTATTATAGCAACCTACTCAATTTACTCAGTCAACTCGTCATCGTCTGCGGACTCGAACTGCTTAACTCCATCCGCATCGGAATTATCGGTCTTTGGCGTCGCCTCAACCATTTTCTTTTCTTTGCCTCCACCTGTCATCAGCCACCCCTGGCCAACCTATATCCCCGTCATCTGCCCTCCTCCGCTCTTTTTCGACATATACTCGCGAGTGACAGAGCAATTTCCTCTGTCACTCCATCTCCCTGAGCGACAAGGTGTATACCGCGCGACTCTCTTGCCTTCCCCTCCAGGCCTCCACGTTGCAATCCTGGACTCCCCGCAATACCCCTCGCATCTGCTTTTCACCTACCCTTGTCGCATCCAGGCGATCGACATCCTCAATGGCTTCCGAACAAATCAACTCGTCTAAGAACGAGTACAATGAATCCGGTCCCCAACGCAGGGACGGCACTCCTCATGCTGCTCTCGGAGCAAGCGCAACCCCTGCACCCTCCGGTTGGTTTCCTCTGGGCTACCGGGAGGGCTTCAGCCAATGGGTAGGTTTCTCACCGCAGCAACAAAAGTGATTATTGTGTTTTTGCTTGTGGCAAGGGTCACTGAACCGCAATTGTATCTCTACAGTGGGCGTCATTACCGGCTGCCACAACCGAACACAAGGTCCTCTCCTACCTACCCTATCTTCAGCACCAACCCCCGACACACCTCCAAACCGGAAAGACCAGCACAGTCCCCAACGGCGGATCGGGGAGTCTTCAGTCCGCCGATCACACTGAGGAGGGCGATGTCACCATCAATTCCACCAACGACCCGTATGGCCCGCGACGGTGGCGCTCAAGCATGGTGGAGCTCAGCGGCAAGAATCGAGCTTTGAACGAGTTCTCCGTCGAGCGCGTGGGTGAGGAGGTAGACCAGCATTTGGTCATGGTTCACGGGTACGGAGCCGGCTTGGGCTTCTTCTACAAGAATTTTGAACCTCTCAGCCGATTGAAAGGCTGGCAGCTCCATGCGCTGGACCTCCTAGGCATGGGCCGCAGTACACGCCCACCGTTCCGCATCAAAGCAAAGGAGCGAGAAGAGGCCATCAAAGAAGCAGAGGCCTGGTTTGTGGACGCCTTGGAAGAATGGCGCGTCAAGCGCAAGATTGACCGCTTCACCCTCATGGGCCACAGTCTGGGAGGCTACATGGCAGTGGCCTACGCTCTCAAGTACCCAGGCCGTCTGAACAAGCTGATTCTCGCCTCGCCCGTGGGCATTCCCGAAGATCCCTACGCAGTGAAGGCAGAAATGCCCGAAACCTCTACGGTGGCCAACGAGCTCACGCAGAATCAACGCACTATCGCCGAATCAGCCTCCTCGGTCGCGCCGGAGGCAATCCAGAAGGGCGACAACAACATTCTCCTCAGAGGGGCTCCTACTGATTCCCCAGACCGCCCTCCTCGCCGGATGGTTCCCAAATGGTTCGCCTATCTTTGGGATGCCAATATCTCCCCCTTCAGCCTGGTGCGGTGGGCGGGACCCCTCGGCCCGCGCCTGGTCTCCGGATGGACCTCTCGCCGCTTCTCGCATCTACCAGCAGACGAAGCCAAGGCCTTGCATGACTACTCCTACTCGATCTTCAGCCTCCGTGGCAGTGGTGAATACGCCCTATCTTACATCTTGGCGCCCGGTGCATTCGCCCGCAGCCCGTTGATCCGTCGCATTCAGGGCGTCGGCCGGCAATATATCGAGCAGAACCCATCCTCCGCCTCCACCCTCCTTGACTCAACCAAGGCCGCAGCATCTGAAGCCCCTGTCCCCTCGTCCTCGTCACAGTCCCCCTCAGCCACGCGCGAAAACGGCCTCCCCGTTGTGTTCATGTATGGCGACCACGACTGGATGGACGTGAAAGGCGGCATCGCTGCCAAAGCCAAGCTAGACGAAGAAAAGGCGCGTGCCCTCCGAAATGCGACGCCCGAAGAGCGCGAGGCGGACAATGGCTCGGCCAAGGTGGTGATCATCAAAAACTCCGGGCATCACGTCTACCTCGATGGGTGGGAAGAGTTCAACCGGGTGGTCCTGGCTGAGATGGAAGAGGTAGAACGCAAGGAAAGAGCGAAAAGAGAGTAAGCTTTCTCAGTGATTGCTCGGCTTTGGGTGGGCTTTCCCTGGGAGTGATGAAGTCATAAGGAGTTTGGATCATTTGCAGCGGTGGCTTTGCTGGACTAATCAGAAGCGTTGTTGATTCCAATGTTGCTGTCCATATACTATAACCTATACTACATTATACAATGTCTTTGATCTAACGATAAGGACAACGAGAAAGAAAAATATCAGGTACATTCTGATTTGTCTTGAAGCTAAGTGAAGAAAAAACAATAATCGTATGTGCATATCACGAAGTTAGTAGAGTGCGCAGGCTAATCGACTAGGACATAATGACACAGAATTTTCCTAAGCATCCAACCTAAAACCACGCATGATCGCAAGATCAGAACGACCCTTTTCGACCGAGTAGTCACTATCAACGCAGCATACCAAACAATTCCCACGACAAGCAAGACCAAAGCTTCAGGGCTGCAGGAAATGGACGCCCGAGTTGGGTCCGGAAATACTTCTCCGGCGATACCGCAGGCCCGTGGAATAATGCACCATCGATTTGCCCGGTGGCCAGGGGGACCGCTGCCCTCCTTCGACGGGGGTCACGGTTCCGCTGCTATTAGGACTAGCTCTGCTCGCCGCGGTGGGTCGTGCAGCGAAGTAGCCGCCGCCGCCGCCGCCGCCGCTGCCGCTGCCACCACCACCACCCGGACCGGCTGGTACATCGAGAACTGCACTGGAGGGGTGGCTATCAGCCGAGAGTGCTGTCTCCGGGAAAGAGGGTAGCTGGTGAATTGATGACGAGGACGGAGAAAGAGCTCTGAGACCGCGGGGCGGCTCGGGCGGTGCTGCTGCTGCTGCTGCTGCTACGCCGGGTTCCGGTCGACTGGACAGGGACAGGAATAGGGAGCGGGTCGAGAGTTTGGAGACTTGGAGCGAGGAGGTGGTTGCTGAGCGGTGGTGGTGGCGATGTCGGCCGCCCCCCTGGTGCGATGGTGGGGGTGGGTGCTGCTCCTGCGAAGGGCGTCGTGGGCGCCAGAATGAGGGTTCCACGAGCTCGGAAGTGCTGCTGTTGCTGCGGAGGGTCAGGGGTTGCGAGGGGAGCTCGAGACGTCGGTTGATGGAGAGCCAGGCTCGCTCGTCTTCGCCGTCGGTGTCGTTATTTATGTTGTTGTTGTCATCTCTGAGGAGGCCGTTCGGGGTTGTTGTTAGGGAGTGCGTGCCGGAGAGATGGTGGTATCTGGATGTGCTGGGTGGTGGTGGTGGTGGCGGTGGTGAGCGCCAGCCGCCGAGTCCTTCGAAGTCCCGGCCGGAGTCGCCGCTGATGAGGCCTAGGAGGCCCGCTGCAGCTGCAGCTGCTGAGGCAGGGACGTGCCCGTTGCGTTGGGAGGGTTCCTTGCACAGGCGGGTGGACGGGATGTTGTTGTCTTGTTGGTCGTCGGAGGAGGTGGAGGCGCTGTTGGTCCGGGTGGCGTGGTTGGGACGTTTAGTGCTTTGGGCGCGTGCCAGGGAGTGTGCCAGGTGATGGCTGTGATGATGATAGGGTTGATGGTGATGTTGGTGCTGATGGGCCGTCAGGGTGGGTGGAGGAGGCCTCGTTGCGCCATGGTCGATGGAGAGTCTTTTGGGGGTCGAAGAGGCGGGCGTCGAGGGCTCGGATGCGGATAGATTCAGCAACGAGATGTTTGTTGCTGTCGGGATCACGAAGAAATTGGCGATGATTGCGAAGCATAGCTCCAGGTAGATGATGAGGAGTCTGAGGATGAGCGCTAGCAGCGAGAGGCTGATCGTGATCCAAGCGGATATTACGAGGGGGATCGAGATGATGGCTAGGAAAGGAAGTGTGAGGAGAACGGACAAAGAGGTAGACATGAAGACGGTAGGCACGGGAGAAACAGTCTTGTGGTTGTTCTGGGTGGATATGAATCATGAACTGAGATACAAATGGACCAGCACTGTATCAGAAGCAAGGCCAGACGCGACCTTCCAGTCTTTTCACCATGATCTGATTTGCAAAGCAGAGAGTTATACAACGGATGGATGGATCTTCTGGTGGATTTTCTACTTCGGGATAGTCGAATTCCCCGAATTTGCGGAGAAGTGCATGTGATACCGGCTGCCCCAGGCATGGAAGATTCGACACCGCACACAGCATTGCTGTGGCAATTGACCCATAGCCTGTAGTTAAGTTATAGGCTTGCATCCATCAGAAAAAGAAGCAAAGAGTACGCAACTCATAAGATCCTAGTTGGTGCGCTACATGGTCTGGTTTTGATGAACCCGATTCTGTTACGTCACTGCCACAACATCCTCATCCTCGTACTGTAAATACCGCCATCATCTCGCATCTCCGTCTCCACCAATTCCTCTACCTATTACTCGCCACCCTCACAATCATCTTATCTAAATGTCAGACACAAAGCACAATGACGAGTTTCCATGGCACTTGGGTGTTTACGACGCTCATTGCCATCCCACCGACACGATGTCGTCAATTGGCACGATTCCACAAATGAAAGCAACGACTTTAACGGTCATGGCCACCCGGGGAGAAGATCAAGACTTGGTGCTCGAAACTGCGAGGTCGTTGAGCAAGAATGAAAATGAACCGACAGGCACAAAACTACCGCCTGTGCTGCCATGCTTTGGCTGGCATCCGTGGTTCTCGCACCAGATCCTCGACGACGTTACAGATTCTGCAGAACCTGACGGTTCTCCGCGGGATGATCGAAAGGCACAACACTACAAGAAAGTCCTTACACCGGTACCGGAAGATGATTTCATCGCTTCTTTGCCAGACCCCAAGCCGCTTTCGCAGCTGATCGCAGAAACGCGCTCACGGCTAGAGGCTTATCCCAGCTCCCTGGTGGGCGAAATCGGCCTTGATCGCGCGTTTAGGCTGCCCAATGCGTGGACTTCAGACGACCAGCAGAAGCGGGACGAGGCAGTGACGCCCGGCTCACGTGAGGGCAGAACTCTCAGCCCCCATCGGGTGCAGCTGAGCCACCAGAAGGCCGTCCTTGAAGCGCAGTTACGTCTTGCTGGGGAGCTAGGTCGACCAGTCTCTGTACACAGTGTTCAAGCACATGGGGCGGTCTTTGATCTGTTCAAGAAGCTTTGGTCTGGCCATGAAAAAAAACAGGTATCACGGCGGGAGAGGCATCGTCGGCAGAACGAATGGAATTCTTCTGCAGAGAGTGATGAAGAAATCCAGAAACGATCGGACTCAGCGCAAGCAAAGAAGAGGCCGCTTCCTTTCCCACCCCAGATCTGCATGCACTCTTATTCGGGACCCGTGGAGCCATTGAAGCAATTCTTGCATCCATCAAATCCCTCCGTCGTCTATTTCTCGTTTTCCGCGGTCATTAATTTCAGCAACCCTTCATCTCAGAAGGTAATGGACGTTATCAAGGCTCTGCCCGATGATCGAATCCTCATTGAAAGTGATTTGCACACCGCCGGACCACAGATGGACGAGCTATTGGAGCAGATCAGCCGGCAGATTTGCGAGCTTCGTGGTTGGCCTTTGGAACATGGAGTTCAGCAATTTGCCGACAATTGGAAACGCTATATTTACGGCTTAATTAGAGATCAATAGAGACGCACGGTTAGAGTACGAGTTCCTGCTTATGAAACCGCATCCAATGACTAATTCTATTGAAAGAAGCATTTTGTTGAGGGTGGATGGAATTGATAAGGGCCCATTTGGCGCAGGCAGTTGAGCCAGTCACACACAATTGATAGGGCTGCTTGATAAGGGAGTCATGCAGATTTAACACTAAGGTTATCCAGGTGGGTCTGCTGGATTCCTTCCACAGTCACCGGACGAAAGCCGTCTTTCTGGAACAACATGTCGCGTGTTGACGAAGGGGAGGATGGGAATAAACTCATTCTTCTCTTAAGCAGCGTCATGGACCATTGAATCCAACATTCCATGCGGACGACCCGACCGTGGCTTTTTCTCCGCACGTGCCACGTGACTCCCCCAGACCCGGCCTCGTTCCTGCCCCACATTCCACTCTCTCTCGCTTTCCCGCTTGTTGTCGGCGTGTCTTCCTCCTCTTCCTTTCCCACCTCTTCCTCTCTCCTCGCCCTCCATCACTATCACTCATTCAATCCCTTTCTTGTCTTGTGTTCTCATAGCGTTAACTACGAAGCCTGAATTATGCCATAGTTGCTGTGTCCTGATCTCGTTCATCTGATTATGCATGACGAAGTAACGAGTCTCCGGACCTGGGATCTATATCGATGCTTCGGCTATGTCCTCCGCAGCGCATAACAGTCCACCCACCGGGAATGGCGTGACTAAGCGCAAATCAGGTATGCACTCACTCTGGCTCATCATCTGCGCGTCTGGAATAGTCGGATTCTCATCAATGTCTGTCTGTATTAGGCTCTGCCGCCTGCATTCACTGTCATCGGCGCAAAGTTCGCTGTGATGCTCGGCTTGTCGGGTTGCCTTGCTCCAATTGCCGCTCCGCGGGAAAGTCAGACTGCCGCATCCATGAGAAAAAGAAACGCTTGGCTACACGCTCAATCTTGAACCCTGTACCTATTCGCTGTCGTCCACCTCCTGCTTCGGAGACTACGCACAAACCATCAAATCTGGCTTCTCCTGTTGCGCCGCCAAATGCTTTCACGACTACCTTCCGCAACGTTCAACCGGACGCTGTGGCAGCTGCCACTTCCCTCGCTAACGTCCATGCACTCCATCGCACAACCAATGACAATGTTGATCATCAACACCAGCATCATAGTTCATCACCAACTTCCGATGCCCAGACATACCATCGCCCAACGGAATCGGAGCTCTCCATAGAACAGGACTCACATGCGGATCTGGAAAGACGATTGGTGAAACTGATCGACGAGGAAGAATCAGGTAGTCGCGAAATTCGTCGGGGTGTGCGAGCGATCTATGTCGGTCACGAGCTGTCCAACATGTCTTTTTTGATTCGTCAACAGCGAGATGAAGTCGACGACGTATACCACTTTGCTGGAAACGAAATACCTCGGCGGCAACTGAGAACAGGCCACGATCAACTGTTGATGGATGCTCTCACCCTACCTGAACCGGCTCTGGCAGATGAACTGGTTCAAGCTTACTTTGACCACGTCAACCCAGGGTATCCCATCATCGACGAGGATCTCTTCATGACCCAGTACCGGAATCGGGACCCTGCCGACCCGCCGCCAATCCTGCTTCTTCAAGCAATACTTCTAGTCGGAGCACACGTAGCTCGGCAAAAGGTTGAGCGTGATGCACTCAAAGAGATCTTCTTTCGTCGAGCTAAATGGCTATTCGACAGTCGTGTCGAGCGAAACCGCGACATCATGATTCAGGCAGCATTGCTCTTGACTTGGCACTCTGATAGCCCTGATGATGATGTTTCAGCTAATGCTCATTACTGGGTTGGAGTAGCTGCTAGAATTGCCACAGGACTTGGCATGCATCGAAATCCTGTGTCAAGCCGGTTTGTTCCACGAGACCGCCGTATGTGGAGGAGGCTCTGGCATATCCTAGTCCAATTTGATGTCATGGTGTCTCTCTCATATGGACGGCCACAAGCTATGTAAGTGGCCCAGATGTCTTACACTCAATGCCAATGACTAACAGTTCCCCTAAGTAATCTTGAGGACTCAGATGTGTCCTCCTTAACACTTTCAGACTTCCAAGGATGTGGACCCGGGGTTCAAACAGACTTTGTGATTCATTTCTCAGAACTCTGCACAATGATATCTTACATTGTTCGCAATCGTTTCGGACTGAGAGTCAACCCGGAGCGTCGCAAAGCGGTATTGCACGAGGCCGATGAGAGCCTAGCTAATTGGTCCTTGAAGCTTCCAGATAAACTACGCTTACGAGCATCTGACATGGACCCATGGTCTGCCATGCTCCATTTGACCTACAACAACTTCCTCATTTTACTACACCGACCCCACCCAAGAGCCTCTGCCTATTCGGATGACTACGGTCCACACGATGCTGAGATCTGTAGTGCAGCTGCAGGTGTTATAGCCTCAATTTTCGAAGAACTTCGTCTCCATGATCGCTTGAAGTTTCTCTGGTACTCTGCCGTTCATACCCTTTTCACAGCAATGATACAAGTGCGAGTGGAGCTTCGCTTCTCAAATCCTGTCCTAGCGATTAATGCCCTTCGTCGCTTTGATTCAGCTTCTTATTCACTTCGCGAACTGGCGGGATACTGGTCCCATGCCACCACTATCCTACGGTTGTTTGAAGATTCCAAGCGCCTTCAGGAGGATCTTCGCTTGGCTACAAGTGAAAGACCCCGTGGTTTCAGCAATTCCCAGGAACGGGAAAAGATTGTGACCCATACTTCATCCTCTAGCTCTTCCAGAAGCACAATAGCTATACACACCCCACAACAGCAGGAGGAACAGCCTGTCCCCTACGAAGTTCCGACTCCAGAGTCGACACATGTTTCAAACCCTACCACCTCTGCGGGCCTTCAACAGAATCACGCGATCGATCACTGGATGCCAGCCACGAACATGACTCCGGTAGAGACTCTGGACGCCCCGCGCGAATCTCTCGATTGGCGGCAGCTGTTTTCTTTCGCAGACATGGACCAACCCGTTCTTCCGATGGCCATGGAGGGCCTTCCTGAACTGGAAGATGAATGGCGTCAGATCTACTGGCAAGAGACACCACTGTCGGATCTCTTGCATGATGGGGGCTGGATGCACGGCTGACATTTGCATTGCACTTGCATTCATGGCGTACTCGTCCTTGCCACATATCATTGGTCTTGAAGCTACCCGGATTTCCTTTGAGAACATGGACTGTGCGCGAACGATAATGACTTGATGACCTTCTCATTGCTTTGCCCCGGCTTTTCATGGATAATTGGCATCGCCAATGCCGGGGAAACATCGGTGACCTATTAGCATTTATCATAAAATAGCTTCCCCGAATGGAATTCCCAGGAATCAGTATACCAATCTTCTGTTCCAATCAGCTTGTTGTGCCGCGAAAGCACTAAAGGACAGCGAAGTCCAAGCTTCATTCTATCTGCCAACACTAATATCCACCGCCCGAATGCATGTGCCCATACAAAATAAGCTAAGAATAGCAGATAACTATAGATGTAGACGAGACACTCGACGATGACAGATAAATACAAATGATCCCAGATCGAAGGGACCAGCATACCCGGGCCTACCGGGTCATGTAAAACAGCCTCTTTTACATTGATTGAGGAGACAGGGTGAGTCCCCACACGAAACAAGGAAAAGAATAAAAACTGGGAATCAGAGCGGGGAATAAAATAAAAGGCGGTTGATGTGCCCGGAGAAATCAGGGAAGTGAGAAGCCGCAGCCCATGTAACAGAAGAAACAGCCGTCGAAAAGACAAAATAAGCGCGCCGCCCGTAAACCGAGATCTGAATCTGTCGAATTGCTAGAAATTCTCACCCACTTTCCGTCCGTCACAAGTTCTGTAAGTAAACAAATCCCTAATGAAGCTCTCGTGCCGCGCCGCCTGGGGAATGTTATGTTGTCAGGGGAGTAAGGACCGGAGGTGTATTTCAAAACGTTTGTGGGAAGGGACCATGTATGTTACGGTGAGCCCTCAGGGGACTGGATACACGGTGAAACCGGTCTTTGACTCCTTTGTGCATTCTGGAACACAGGGTGCAGATCATCTGTGGGGATATGGTTGATGACTTTTGGAACCAATTATGATTGCACTGCGTCAGTTGGATGGCTCTCCTGCACACATACGCTTACTCTAGTAGGATTCACCGCCAGTGCCATTGTGGGCTTGGCCGACCATGGGAGGGTAGCCGTAGGCGGAAGCATCCTGCTCAGAGGGGTCCAAGCTTGGGTTGATGATGTTATTGGCAGCATCCGTGGTATCAGGGAAGCCCCCCGGACCCGTCGGTGCGACTGGCCGTCCGGATGGAGCGCCGCCGGGAGGGCCTCCTACGGGGCCGCCGGCGTTGTACCCACTGCTTGTCGGACGGTTCTGATGCTCTCCTCTCGCGGATTGGGTCTGCAGATTAGATCAGCAGTGTTCTCTCTAAGCAAAACACGCTATCGCCAGTTGGGGGGCGATGGGCAAAATGGCTAGATGCGTTGCACAGGTCTTACCTCGCGGTACTTCGATAGGTAGATCTTCAGTGCCTCTGCGTAGTTTTCGAAACCGAGTGAGGTCATGGCGAAAAGGATATCCTCTCCGTTGACCGTCTTACGCTTTTCCTGCTGGCATTTGTCGGAAGCTACGCAAAGGTTCGACGGTCAGTTTTCAGAACTGGTATTGAGACGATATGGACTGTACAGACCTTCACTGGTGATGAACGAGATGAATTCGCTCACACATTCCTGCATACACTCCTTGGCCTCCTTCGCGATCTTCGCGTTCTCAGGTAGAGCTAATTTCATGATGCGAGCCACTTCACAGGCGATGTCAGTATTCTATACAGGCATGCAGCGGCAGTGACAACGATGAGGTGGATATGGGCATAATGCACCCAGCATGCCATAGCATATTGTAGACATGTCTGCCCAATCGGATGGATGCTGGCAGTGGTGGCAGACGACAAATAGGCACATGAGCCGAAAGACTCGCGGTCATCAATCCCCGAAATAGATGATGGCAGGCAGATGAATAGGATAGCAAGGAATGGTGACGATTGACCGGATCGGCCTCCTAGGCGGTGGAGAGGCACGAGCAATCATAGTAGGGCAAAAAGCGGTTGACCAGCAGGTGAAGGTAAGGTACGCACAAATCAGGACGAAGCGACAAGCTGCAAGGGAACGCAACTAACCATTTGCAATTGGTAGCCATCTGTCCTGCTCCTTTACTTCGAACTCTCCCTGACCCTGCGCCTGGGAGTCCTGTTGGTCTTTGTCCATTTGTTCCTGGTCTTCACCCGATTGAACTTCCGGTTCCACCTCCGGTTCCTTCGAGGGGGAGGTCGACGACATGATTTTTAGCTGTCGGGAGAACGTGCAGAGATACTGAATTTAGGATGGAAGGGCCGTCTCTAATTGCTCTGTTGGCAAACCACGTCAGAGCTGCGTACAGGGCGTGGTGGATTCTCGATCTTGGACGTTATGATACAGCCGCGCCAAGGGTACTGGAGGTGTGTCTGGCTGGGCAGCGATTCGCTTCACAACAGCCTGAACGGGGAAGGATGACTGTGACAACGCGTGTGGGGGATTGGCAGCGCTTCCGCGATAGTGCGTGTGTGCCTTAGCGTTCTGAGCACGGCCTGGTAGGATCTATTATTCCGACTGCGATGACGAGACACGGTCCGAAAGATGACTCTGTTTGTTATTGCTCTATTATTATTGCTGGTCTAAAGATTGGCTGCAATGAGATGAACGGGACGATCTGATTCGAGGGCCAGTGAAGTAAGGGCAAGCTTGCAGCGGGTTCTGGAAACATACACAGCTAATCTTGGACTTCGTTCCTTTTCTTTTTCGTCTTGCTATAATTGGAGAAGCCCCGATCTAGGTCTTCCGGAAAAAATGCTGTCTGAATGACGTTAGAGCTGTCAAACTAGAGGCGATAGTAACGTCAGCAAGCTGAAAAATCCAAGTCTCTTTGCAGCACGCGCATTCATGAACGCGGTAGCAGGTCAAGAAGGCGGAATGTGACGCGGGTAATACAACACGGAAGTAACCGTGGGTCAGACAGGATTGGGGGGCAGTGGCACGTTGCGCAGCTGGGCGACAAGATACCAACAAGAAAAGCAAGCCAAAGCGCGACAGCGATTGGACTGAAATGCAAGAAACGAAGACGCTGAGAATGGGTAGGGGGGCGGGGGGCGATGTAAGGGTAAAGGTAATGGGCTTACCGGCCAGTCAATGACAGGCACCGGGGGAGGGGGGCGTAGGGCACAGGTCTGACTGGAGACGGCCGCAATGCGCGCAGCTCTCAATTGGCGAACCAGAAGTCCCTGGCTGTCGCGATGAATATATCCAAGCGCCAATGAGCTTTGACCCGGTTTGCAATGCACTGTTTTCTGCTTCCAAGAAGCACGCAATAGATGAGTATTGTTCGAAGAGACGCGATGAACGGAATTCGATGAACGATTCTGGTTGCGCCCAATGTCCCAGATTGAGTGAAGAGAAGATGGGGAGGAGGAGAGGAAGTTGAGGGTCGATGAGCCGCGGTGGGAAACCAGCAACTAACGCTCATCGGTGGCCTCAGGACTTCCATAACGCCCCTCTAACGCGGTATCGCTCTGTCACTTTCTATTCTAGGACTAGCGCTCCCAAAGCTCCCACGAGAGGCGAGAAGGAGAGGTGTATTGATACGGTAAAGCACGTGACATTCGTCATCGGCCCCGGATCTCTTGGCCATCGGCCTTATCTTCTTTCATTCTGCAATACTGGATTATCTTCAACGCCTATCCAACGACAGCGACAATAGCAAGGAACATTCGTACATTCTACGTGCCATGCATGCTTGATACCGAATTCTGACGCTGAGCAAATTCTATCGCCTCCAAGAGACCTGGTCTCATCGCTCTTGCATGCGCAGAAATGTCTATCGGTTACTTCTTATCTCTATCTATACATACAGTACTGTACCTTTGAGACCAATGCTCCAATCAATCTCACGGACAAGTGGGCCGGCCAAACTTCCCTCAGCAAAGATGCCATAATACTCATAAGAGCACCTCGCTTGCTCTGTCCTTTGTCTCAGGATCCGTGTTGACTAAACTGGATCGATCTCTTATGTCATTACGTGCCCTATGAGGACTGACGGACCGTGTACTGTAGGTACATGGCGTCAGGCATCAACAGCATTTCCAAACAATCTGGGCCAGCCATCTACTTGGGGAATCTGAACCTTCATGCATCTCTTCGTCTCATCACATTCCAGAACCCTGCTCGGGATGAAGCACTGTATGTACTTTGAAAAGGGTACCGGTTAGGCAAAAGCTACAGAGAGTTCCACTCCGCAGCCCAATCTGCGAAGGAGGTGTGGATGAGGGCATCCATCACTTGCCACTCTCTACTACATAGGATTCATGTGGCTTCTACCCAAGCTGCTCGCTCCCCAAGGAACAAGGTTGGCATATCAGCCTCGAAGATCATCTGTCAAACAAAGTTGGCTGAGAGCTTGCCAGCCATTGAACGTGTCACACACACATGCATCGGCATAGTCCCAGATCTACTCCCAAGGCTGACATGAAGCAGCCAGTAGGGAATCTCGGGAACAAGCCTCTATCAGATGAAGTCAGGAGCAATGTGCTTTCGTGCAGCTGTTGTGATCCGGCCTCGAATCGGCCAACTGCAGACGAGTACAGCAGATGTTTACTTCAGACGCCTTGTTCCACAGGGCCAACTCAGCCGAGCCACACCTTCTCTTGGGTGCATAAGCGTTATCGGGAAATTTCTGGCTGGATGACGCCCGCTTTGACTATGTCAACTACTAGCATTCCTGCGTTGTAGACGAAAATTGTGGTAACGATAGGGATAGAACTTATCAACCGGTGGAGATGCACTCTGAAAGGTAAAGTCATCAAACAAGGTGAAATAGGCACGGAAGTTGTATTATACACTATTTGCTGCCAGGTATGATCAAAGCCTTGAAATCAGTGCCTCAGACTTCAGCTTCATGGCCTGATATGAAATTATCCCCAGAGGTGAACCTAACAATTAGGCATGAGTGCATTCAAGGCCCCGACCGGTCTGTAACAAAGTACTGGTTTGTGCTTAGCTGCCACACATCGTCCTTGTCCTGGGCGAGCGAAACTGGCAAAGCTTTGCAACAGAAGCTGCCATGAACCACGATCGTTCAGTCCATGGGATTGTCGCAGTGAAAGCGAAGTCAAGGGACCGTCAAGATGGCTGTGGGCTCCAAATAATGCCGCTCCTGCTCTGCTCACTGTTTAATTCCTCCAAAGACGGCACCAAGGGAAATATGAAAGGTAATCAATGAACCATGGTAGCTCTCAGATTATTGGTTTCCTATGGCTGTACGACTTGAATATTGTTCTTCTTCTGTAAAGGGAGATCCAGGTCAGAGCGAGTCCTTCTCATGAAGATTGGCATGAAATGACGAACCTTCCAATTGTCAAGATCTGACTGCTTCGACTTGTATTGCTTCAGTAGTTCGTCTAGGACCTGCTTCAGACCGTCCGAGTTCGTTTTGAGGGAGGGAAGAACGTCTTCGACGGTCCGTTCTACCAAAACTCCATTGACCATGCGGAAACATTTTCTATCCTTGGGAAGAGGTTCGAGCGTCTCGATCACAAGTCTAGCGACAGCACGCGGGCATTAGTGACCCAAGCCTGAACGAATAGAACAAATTGAGGGTAAGAAACAGGGAAGACTGACTTGTGTTCCTCTGCTTCCTGCTCGATATCGCCGATCTTTTGTGCTAACTGCTGCAGGGTGTTTTTGTAATTTGTGTACTGGAGCTGAAGCTCTGCAAACGATCAGCACGAAACCCTTAAATGCTATAACAGGAACTCAAGCTTGTGCAGTCATACCCTGCTGCTTCTTAGGGTTGATCTGTGCTTGACTGGCCATTTTGTCGATATTCGATGCACGCAGCGTACTTGCAAAGCTGGGCTGGAGTTGCGATGCGGGGCGTTGGTTCGATATCCGCCGCGGCGGCGGACCGGGTTAGAGGGAACTGGAAGCCAACACTGAATCCGGGTCCACCCACGGCGCTGCCACATGTAACTTGGAGCTCAGTGAAAATTTAGACTTAGGCTATCGTAGTGCAATTGAATTTACTTAGACTGCGACTGCGATCTTGCCTGCCTCGAAATGAGCTCGAAATCTGCGTCATTGGGTGGTGTGTATCAATCACGTGCTTGACCTCTGTTTGCAGGGTTTGCATGGGTGATACTATCGCCCGATAGTCAATCGAATCCGCCTCCAAGTCTATCCCAACTTATCGCCAGGAGGGCTCAAGCAATCAGCTGTGGCCCTTCTCGCAGACACTTTCAAAAGTCAATAGCTTGCGCTACTTAATTCGTCTCTCCTCGAAACCCATACACCAACAATTCAAAATGGCGCCGGACGACATGCCTCCAGCCAAGCGGCTGAAAAGCTCCAACCTGCCGGGGCCGTTGCGCGACGCGAAGCGCAAGGACATTGACAACTGGGAAACCAACCGAATGCTGACGTCCGGTGTCGCCCAGCGAAGGGACTTCGATGGTGACTTCATGCCCGAAGACGAAGAAGGAACTCGAGTCCATTTGCTGGTTCACGATCTCCGCCCACCTTTCCTCGATGGCCGCACGATTTTCACAAAACAGCTGGAGCCCATCTCCGCTGTCCGGGATCCGCAGAGCGACATGGCCGTCTTCAGTCGCAAGGGAAGCAAGGTCGTGCGCGAAAGACGTCAGCAGCGGGAACGCCAGAAGCAAGCGCAGGAAGCAACAACGATGGCGGGCACGGCCCTCGGAAATCTTATGGGTGTCAAGGAGGACGAGGGGGACAGTGCGGTCGCAGTGCCCGTGGAGGAGGCATATAAGAGCGGAAACAAGTTTGCCAAACACCTGAAAAAGGATGAGGGCGGGCAGAGCTCATTCAGCAAGAGCAAGACGCTCCGTGAGCAAAGAGAGTTCCTTCCGGCGTTCGCCGTCAGAGAGGATTTGCTGCGGGTGATACGAGATAACCAGGTGGTGGTGGTCGTCGGCGAAACCGGGTCTGGTAAAACGACCCAGCTGACGCAATTTCTGCACGAAGACGGTTATTCTAAGTTTGGAATGATCGGGTGTACGCAGCCTCGTCGGGTGGCTGCTATGAGTGTTGCCAAACGAGTAAGCGAGGAGATGGAGGTGGACCTGGGAGAAGAGGTTGGCTATGCGATCCGTTTCGAGGATTGCACGAGCAGCAAGACGGTCATCAAGTATATGACTGACGGCGTCCTATTACGAGAATCGTTGGTTCAGCAGGACCTCGACAAATACTCCTGCATCATCATGGACGAGGCGCATGAGAGAGCTCTTAACACTGATGTCCTCATGGGGCTTCTGAAAAAGGTGCTGGCCCGACGCAGGGATCTCAAGTTGATCGTGACATCGGCTACAATGAACGCCGAACGCTTCTCTCGATTCTACGGCGGCGCTCCTGAATTCATTATCCCTGGACGGACTTTCCCCGTTGATGTCCACTTCTCGCGTACCCCATGCGAAGACTATGTGGACAGTGCGGTCAAGCAGGTCTTGGCCATTCACGTATCGCAAGGACCGGGTGATATCCTTGTCTTCATGACAGGCCAGGAGGATATCGAGGCTACGTGCGAATTGGTGGACGAACGGCTAAAGCTACTGAACGATCCACCAAAGCTCAGCATCCTGCCCATTTACAGTCAGATGCCCGCGGAGCAGCAAGCGAAAATCTTCGAACGGGCCGAGAACGGCGTGCGTAAAGTGATTGTCGCCACAAACATCGCTGAAACTAGTTTGACGGTCGACGGAATCATGTTCGTGGTGGATTCGGGCTATTCCAAGTTGAAAGTATACAACCCTCGGATGGGTATGGATACGCTGCAGATCACACCAATCTCTCAGGCCAACGCCAACCAGCGCTCGGGACGTGCAGGTCGGACAGGGCCCGGCAAAGCATATCGATTGTACACGGAGGTCGCCTACAAGAACGAACTTTATCTGCAAACCATCCCCGAAATTCAGCGCACCAGTCTCTCCAATACCGTCCTCCTGCTCAAGTCTCTCGGGGTCAAGGATCTCCTGGATTTTGATTTCATGGATCCTCCACCGCAGGAAACAATCACCACATCGCTATTCGAACTCTGGTCTTTGGGGGCGCTCGATAACCTTGGTGACCTCACCCACCTAGGTCGTCGGATGACTCCATTCCCAATGGACCCTCCGCTCGCGAAATTGCTGATCAAAGCCTCCGAGGAGTACGGGTGTAGCGAGGAGATGCTCAGCATCGTCTCCATGCTATCCGTTCCCAGCGTCTTTTACCGCCCCAAAGAACGCCAGGAGGAATCCGACGCCGCGCGAGAGAAATTCTTTGTCCCCGAGTCTGATCACCTCACGCTCCTCCATGTCTACACGCAATGGAAGGCCAACGGCTACTCCGACGGCTGGTGTACCCGCCATTTCCTGCACGCCAAAGCCCTTCGACGCGCCCGGGAGGTTCGCGACCAGCTGCACGATATCATGACGGTGCAGAAGATGCCTCTCGTCAGCTGTGGAACCGACTGGGATGTCATCCGCAAGTGCATCTGCTCCGGATTCTACCATCAGGCCGCGCGCGTCAAGGGTATCGGCGAGTTCCTCAATCTCCGCACCAGCGTGAGCATGCAGCTGCACCCGACGAGTGCTCTGTATGGCCTGGGTTATGTGCCCGAATACGTGGTGTATCATGAGTTGATCCTCACCAGCAAGGAGTATATGTCCACCGTAACGGCTGTTGACCCACACGTAAGTTCTGTTCCTCCAATTCCTATGTAACCCCACCATCATTATCCCCTCCTCGCCACCATGACCTTCAAACTGACTTCTGAAACTTCGGTGTATAGTGGCTCGCCGAACTTGGAGGCGTCTTCTACTCCGTCAAAGAAAAGGGCTATTCACAGCGCGAGCGCCGAGTCACCGAACAGGAATTCAACCGGCGCATGGAGATCGAAACTCAAATGGCCGCGGATCGGGAACGGGCCGCCGCGGAAAAGCAGCGGGAACAGGAGCGCAACGACCCCTCCCGACGCCGGCAGGAGATCGAAGTGGGCAGTTCCGTGGTCCGTCGCCCGGCTGCCACAGCCCGCCGTGTTGGAGGCGTGACTGCCTCCAGTTCTTCACGCAATGGAATTGGAGCTGGAGGAGTTGGTGGTGGTGGAGGAGGAGGAGGAGGAGGAGGGGGAAGCGTGGTGAAGAAGCCCCAGGTGAAAAGAAGACCTGGACGGGCGTTTTGATTGTTGTTGTATATACATATAGAGGTATACCCCAATCTTGGCAAAGAGTTATGAAAATGGACATGAACATGAACACCTGGGATTCGTACATCCTTCGATCTAGAGTTCAACGGAAACCGTGTACATGTTGCCGCGCTCTTGCATGAAGTTGCCCCAGCAAGAGATGAACTGCGGAAGTAGATCCCACGGAAACTCGAGTACTATCATGGCTGGGGATTAGGTGCCTCTCGAGGATGATACTAACATAGATAGTCGACACCATCGACTCTTTTTTTCCTTCCTTCGACTAACTTTACAACCAGAAGGACTGGATCAGACCCGATCAGACCAGACAGATCAGGATTACAGCACCAAGTCCACCAGGGATCTTCTTCAAACCGCAACCTTCACTAAGCGCCCAGTCCAGCCGCAGTGATCTTAACCTCTGGATACTGTAGTCCTAATCCCACTCTCTGAAATCCCAACCAAACCCAACCTTCCACCCCCGATCCCATTAACCTCGCAACCCCAATTCCAACCCGAAAACCGCTCAGTTGATGAAGTTGATACAGAAGAAATGCAAGATCAAACTCCCGAAGATGTAATCCGCGAACGCCCTAGATTTCCACGAGGAGTCAGCTCAGCCCAGCTCAGTCCAGCTCAGTCCAACCCAACCGAACCCCTATACATCACCGACACATCCCCTCCCTCAAACCCAAACCCAATCACAACACCCCAGAAGAATGAAAAGAACTCACCTCTCATGCGAAATCCCATTCCCCCCAGTCTCATTCCCCAGCGCAGCAGCAGCAGCGGCGGCGGCGGCTTTCCCTTTCGCCCCTTTCCCACCCGACGACACCGTCGCAGCCGAAGTCGAAGAAGTCTGCATGCGCAAGCTAGCGGTAAGCACGAACTGGCCCACCGCAGCCGAGAAGCCGCTCAGGAAGGCGTTGAAGGGCTGGTATTCGGAGGCAAACGGTTAGCCATAGTTTCCATCCCACAAGAACACCGCCCCCTGACTCGAATACACGTCGGAAGATGTGGGATATATGATCAGATAAAACTGGAGGGAAACTCACGTAGTTGCCGGCCAGAACACAGTAGAGGAATTGCACGCCGCCGACCAGGACCAAAAAGCCCATGAAGGCGTCGAGCAGCAGCGTGCGCTGCGGGGTGGTGGCGAGGTATTGCTGCCACACGGTGTGGGCGATGTCGAGGACGGAGGAGTTGGTGGTCAGGGTCTTGGGGCCGGAGGAGAGGGAGGAGGAGGGCGAGGCAGTAGCGGTGGTGGTGGTGGTGGTGGTGGTGGTGGTTGAGGATGAGGGTATAGTTGGAGGTGAGGGCGCGGGGACGGGGCCGGTGGCGGCGGCGGTGCGTTTGGCAGGCATGATTTCTGGAGGAGGAAGTGCCTGGATCTCGTCTCGGGTTGGAATAAAAATCAATTGGCGTGAAAGATCGTGCGAAAGAGAATGACTGAGAGGATGAGAGAGCGTCTGGATGTCGGCTGAGTCGGTGGTGTACCTCGGGGATTCATTACGCAAGCTGTCCGTTACGCTATGTCACGTGATGTAGATGTTATCGGCCGGGGCTTATCTACTAGTCGATATAACTGGACGGTATGTAAGTTACAAGGAATTCTGTTCGCTTGTCGTTGATATGTGCAATTCTGGGGGATCTTCTAAATATGATGCATTGTTGTGCAGATAACGTTGCGATAAGGTAGTCACCGTAGCCAAGGTCTCATACAACCTAAAGGAAACATCTTGGTAACATTCAGAGTTATTATACACATAATCATTGTTTTCAAATCATCGATCCATCGTGATTAAGATTGGAGAGAGGTATTTCTGCATCGTGAAGAGGGGAGTTTTCATGAAAATAATCAAAAAGATTCGCCAGTCATACCGCAACACTGAGCCCGCTCGAGCGAAGGGCGAAAGACCTCCAGGGTCACGGCTGGATTAGAGGGTATATAGAACACACTTCGGGTGCATGACGCGCTTCCTTGCCGCACAGGCACATCAGGCAAGCCAGTCAGAGATATTCGCAAAAGGGTTTTCGGTATTGGCTTCTTGCAAATCCATCTGGAAGTCGTGCATGACCCTATCCCACTCATCCCAATTGAGCTGCGGGTCCGACTTGTTCTCGTTCTGCTGCATGGGCAACGGTCCGGCGAATGAGTTCATCGATGCATCGCCAGGCGTTGTAGTTGGTTGCTCCATGGCTGCCGTCATGGCTGCCGCTTGAGGTGAAAACAAGTCAACGCCTGGGAACAAAGTGCTGATTGCGTCCAGCGGCCCCTTTCGAAGATCGATATCAATTGCGTTTGTATTAGACAGCGTGCCGCCTTCTGGCATGGCAGATGATATCTGGGATTCTCGTTGTGCAAGAGGCCGGGGTAATATGGGAGGGGCTTGAATAATTGAGGGTCCAGTGCCACCGGTGAATGGCACAGTCTCAAAAGAGCCTACATTGAGACCCAGCTGACTTCGCAACTCTTGTTGCTTTGCTCTGTGGGCAGCCGCGCGCTTCATGAGCCTTGACAACGGTCGCCAGAGCATGCCCTTACGTTGTTTGCTGTTGCGTACCCAATCTCGGTAAAGATTGCTTACAGCCTCCCAAGCACGGTCGGTCAGAGGGCTCAAGGGGCGTACGCAAAGCTCTGATAAGACAAATGCAATGGCATGCCATTGCATGTTCGTGGCAAAGAGCCAGCTCCACTTAAATGTGTTCTTGTCGGCCCCAAGAAGGCGCGCAAATTCGGCAACCTCCACAGAAGTCGCGAATAAGCTCTCTCGGTTTGCATTGGTCAGAGCAACGTCACGATCAGGCCGAGTCATGGGATGATGAATCACAAGCCATAGCTTCGTGAGAATGAGCCGAGCGACTGTAGCGCAGACCCATTGAATAGGCACATTCATGTCACAATGCTTGATGTATCGTTCCTCGATGCGGGCATTGATGGCTTTGATCAGGTTCCCGCAATTGTCCGCAGAGAATGGTCGAGTACCTGGGGTGAAATGACCATTAGGGCAGGCATAGCTCACCCGCCGAAGGGCTACTGTGATATCGCAGCGGATAAGACAGAAGGTCACCTCGGTAAAGCCAATCCTCTCTGGGGGCGGCTCTTGCATGTCCGGTGTGATGTCATCGTCATTGACGTTCAGTGGAAGCCGCGTATCATAAATTCGTTCATGGATCTGCGAATCAGTGCCATGGTCTTCGGACGATCGAATGTCCAACAAACAGATGTGCCACCACAATCTCCGACGCATTTCCGTGTCAAAGGGCTTCAATCCGAACTTCGTCCCATCCCGGTGAAGGCCAAGACCTTGCGCAAGGCGAAGAACGAGAGCCGTCATAGACCACACGAACTTGGTATCGTCCTCACGACGGATGCCAATGAGAAAGATGACAGCAGCTTGCAGTAGCATTAGGTTCTGCGTGTTTAAGAAATTGGCCTTCGCCAAAGCTTGTTCGACCGCAAACCGATAGCGTTTCACAGCAGTGTCACGGTCCTCATCTAATTGAATGACGCACTGCTCATGAGACAAGCTTATGACCGCAACCAAGCACATCGCCAGGAACAGTGCTTCTTGGTTCTTATCTAAGTTGCTCGGATCCTGGGCTGCGATCGTAAAGAGCTGTTGGGCTGTAGGTTTATGCACAACGGGGACCAGCGGCGCCACATTCTCGTGATACAAATTCCAGAGCACCGGAATCTTCGACGATGGTGGCAGGAAGCCGCGAAGGGAATGAGAAAGCGAGTAGAATCCGAATAGGAAACCGTCATGGTTGGCGGAATGGGTCGACGACGATTCGGGAGAGGGGTAATCCTCGTCCTCCGACGCTGATGGATCAAGGATATCCTGAAGCTCTTCGATCTACACATATCCCTGCGTCAATACCTGAAAGGTGCCTCATCATAAAACAACATCAAGGAGGCAAGAAATCGACTCACCTCATCACCGAGACTAGCCCAGAACCGATTGCTCACATAGCGACTCCGGCCTTCATCAATAACCAGTCGTCCAAATTCATGCTCCATGTTTCGCGTGGCCATAGGCCTCCGGGGATCCACATTAGCAGCATCCAGCATCAGCGGACACCCGTCGCCGTCGCCGGGGCCTGCGTGAGGCGCCGGCGGACCCTGTGTGCTCACGTTCTCACTGCGCGTCTGGCGTGGGGAAGGCGTGTCCGATAGCGACGCGGTTCGTTTCTCGTTAAGATGCTCGATGACACCCTCCAGGCGCCTGAGTCGAGAGAGGAGCTCCGCATCTTGTGGCCGCTTCGATTTGCGGGGCGCCCTTCCAGGTGGGGGGAAGATGCACTCGATACCCGCCTTGACACAGTTCGAGCACGGCGATCGCTTGTTGCAGCGGACTTTCCTCCGACGGCAGGTGACACAGCTGCGTATGCTATGCAGCTCGTGCGAGGAATGGGGGTCGGTGTGATGGTCCACGGTCGCGGCCGGGCCATGACTGAGACTCTCCGAATCTTGTCGGGAGTGAGTCGCAGATAAGGCTGGCGAGGTCACAGTGGGTACGGGCGGGCGTTGTTGTGCTGGAAATGGTGGGCTATGGAAGGACATGACAGTATAGGTGAGATTATCGATGAAACAAACTCGCGAGCATGCCACATCGTCAACGGCGGCAGCGGCAGCGACAAGTACAGGGAAGGAGAAATAAGAAAATTATTGATGAGACCAAAGAAGGTGAATCGGTTCGGATTACTGTATTATTATTATCGGGGCCAAGCTCACTAACTCACCAATACAGCCTCAGTCATCGACTCATAGTGGGGAGGGGGAGAAAGGTCGATTCAGGTCTCGAACAACGCCATTGGCCAGGAACGGTAGCTCCTCACGTAATCAGAAAGTAAAAAGACAATCACGTGCATCTGACATGGAGACAATGAATATCAAGTAGCTAACTATAGCATAACTATAGCATAACTATAGCATCGTTGAGTACAGGCTAACTGGCGTGGAGTCATTTCTGTTGTTCGCAAATGGGATTCGTTCTTGCTATCAGCGCGGAACCATCGACCGACATTATACAATGGCTATACCATGGACTATATTGATTAGCCCCTGACCTTGAAGACGGAATAGTTTAACTATAGCCTCACATACGTGACACATCTTGAACACGTAGTCCTTGCAATGACCGTGGACTGAGACCTCGTGCTAAGGTCAGGCGCTTCAGTAGCATTCATGTTGCTTCCCTTGTGATATGCATCAAACGTGGTTCAAATCTACATGAGCCAATGTCTCGGACAATACCAGATTATATATTTGATATATTCACAGACATCTCAAAGGTTCAGTTGCCCCGGCTCCAGAAAGCCAATGCACAAGGCTCTAGTAAGAAATATTTGGAACAAAGTCTGAAATGACCCCAATGAACAGAACAGCAGGCCAGAGAAGAATCATGGAACCCAACGCCGGATGTATCCAACGTGCGAATAAGTGGTATGCGTTCCGTAGGATAACGCCATATATATGCAAACAAGTGACGACTATACAAAAAAAATTGAACCCAATCAGATCGTAACTGTCATAATCAGGCCCAAATGCATCACCGGGCCTTGAACTTTTAAAACAGCCTTCGAGTTTCATCGAAACAAAGGCCCGAGAGGCGTGGTTCGAACGGGTACGTCGACTGGCTGGCGGCGCCAAAACTGTCGTTTCCTTTGTTTATCCCACATCTCTGTGACATCGTTGAAATGGTGTCTGAAATCGAGGTTTAGTTGGACAGCCTATTGACTCAGGAATAGCAACTTACCCTTGGAATGTGGTAGCGGTCATAGATTTCGAGCCATATTCCTTCTTGAGAAGTCGGACATATTCAAACGGAATTTTAACGGGAACACCCTCGAAATAACTAGTCCGTAGCGGGAAGATTTCGGTCTCCTGTAAGCTGGTTAGCTTGCCGTGTTGTGTCAGTGGTTGGCGCGCCATTTACATCAAACCGGTGGCCATCTTTACACATCAGAGCACCGGGGTCGCCGCGTTCTCGTCTGTCGTCATCCTTGCGCACGGCGGTGATGTCGATGAACAATCCGGAGGAAGTGTCAATCCAACGCGCATCAATGACATTCAACTTATCATCGGTAGACCGAATGACGTAGTTAGGATTTATCTCGAGCAAGTAAGTTCGTCCGCCCTCCACTCCGGGAATCTCAAAATGGTGTTCCGTCATATTGTAATAGTCGGCAAGGAAGTGAATTGTGGGCTCAGAGATTTGGACATCGAGGTCATTGTCCCAAGGGAAGATCTAATCAGCTGTCAGCGGGAGGAACAACGCAACGACCATGGGAGCCGGTGACACAACCTTCTGATTCCACCACCATGCCAGAAGAGTCCCGTGCATGATCCATGTCTCGGCACCAAGGTCTGCCATTGTTGACAGATAGGTTCGGATGAGTTCCGACAGGTGCGGAATCGTCTCTTCGTCTGAGAGAGGCTTATCGGCAAAGCTGCGACCAAGGACCGA